AATGGATTTAAGGGAAACTGCTGAATTATATTTGTCAGGTTCACAGCTTTCTCCTTCCTACTATAATTTTCTCTCACTCTTGTTGAGCAATGACCTATTGCTTAATTACCCCTTGTCAAAGTCCTTTTATGCCTCACCCTTTAATGCTTCTCCCTCCCCCATCACTATCATTTTTTCTCATTTCAGTGTTGTCTCTGAGTGGCTTTGCCTACTTGTCCCAACCTTTTCAGCAAGTCCCATATCACTTTCAGACCTGATCGAAACAAAATTAGACAGGGAGAGGAATTCTTGTTGACTGTTTGCATTACAATTTCTTTCAACTCAGCTCTGAAAATCCCAGAACCCAGAAATTTTCAGGCAATCTCTGCTCAAGCAACTAATACATCAGTCTGAAAATATCACCTCTGTGCTTTTGGTAGAAAACGTAACATACTCAAGCCTAAAACTAGATGGAGGGAGCTCCAGACGCACACTTTATGTCACTGCTGTCTTCTTTAATACAAGCATTCCAAGCTGCAGAGAATTCAAAACTGACTGATCTAAGTGATAGATTCATAAGCAAAGGCAGAAAGGCATGCAGCTAGATTGCATACACCAGTGTATGTGAACTGATTTCCCAAGTGTAGGCAATTTCTAGTTCAATGCATGCTGAAGTGAGGTCGGACTCTCCATCTGTGATTCAACCACGGAGGCCGTTCTTGTTTTCCTAGGGGCTGGCTGCTTACTGAGTAGCAAGGACCAAGGGTTATTCAGCACTGAATACTGCATACTGCAAGCAACAGTCTTCCAGTCAGATCAATAGTTCAGGTGATTAATTTTAATCTCCTGATCTGAGCAGAATGTTTTTCTGTTCTACTTTTATGCAGGTAGAATGGGGATCTTTCTGGTCTTCTACATTGCAGTGAATTGCAAAACCATGAAGCTAGCCTACCAACGATGCAGTTATTAGTCACAGTTGTCAAAGGTGAAAGGCAAGTAGAGAACGTGGTGCAGTAAGTTCAAACTGCCATTCAGATACTTTATCTTCTTCGCAGCTCCTGTGGCCTGTGTGCATTGTAATCGGCTGGTAGTTGGCTTGTTGCTCGCACACTCTACAGAGAAATGTGTCTGTGCTGTTAGAAGAGGTAATCTGTGTGACCCTCCAATGAATAGCCCACTTATTTATAAGCATCCTATCTCCGCAAGTGATGCTGCCATACATCCGCTTTGAACAAGAAGGATTTCCTTTTCTGATATGGAATGTAGTAACTTTGATGAATGTGTACCCACAGCCAGACCCTTATAAAGCAGAAGAGGAAATTTCCCCACCCATTTTTCCCTCCCTTTCCTTGCCGTACATGGCAAGACTCTTGAGTCCTAGGAACTAAAAATAGTCCAGTGGATAAGTTTAAATTGAGATATTTTGAAGCACTTCTTGCACTGACATAAATTCCTACAGTGTGATAGCAAGTTAGGACTAGACCACTGTCCTGGTATGCCTGTCTTGTGCCAGCAATAGGTATTGCCAGGTGGGAGAAAATCTGAGCCCATTGCAGATGATTGGGGATGGGGGTGAAAATACAGTGCACCTCGAGGAGCACGGGTGGATGAGGAGAGGAGGTCCTAGCTTCAGAAGGATCCCAAGCCTCTGAGAGGGGGGTGAGCATTTGTGCAGAGGGGGACACTGCAGGAGCTGTTGGGAACCAAGGGTCCTCACTAGCAATTGCTTGTAATGTCTGTAGTGTGAATCTCCCTGCCACAACCCCCTGCTCTTTGCTGACCTTCAGGAACTCATTCAGATTCCCACCACTTAGGTGTGTGGCTCCCCACGCTGCCCCACTAGTCAGCATCAGCAATGCTCCGAGTGGGTTTGAGCAGGCACATTAGAGTCGTGTGTCCTGTGGGAAGCTGGGATGATGCAGGTGCTTATCGCACATGATGGAAAAAATTGAGTCAACAAAAATGTGCCAATTGTGAGAGGGCAGGAACTTTGGAGAGAGACAGGCCCGCACCTCACTGCACAGGCTGTTGCCTGAAAGAGCTCTGAGCCCTTGCACCCTTTCCAGGGTAGGAGAGCCCCAGCACAGCAGCTGCCTACACACAGGGCATCCTAAGGTGGCACCATCAGCTGCTGTCCCCTCCTCCCTGAGCTTCTTTTGTTCCATCCCATCCACTGCCAAATCCTCTTTCACTGTCTGTACTCGCCACCATGCTGTGTTCTGCTCCCAGGGTCAAACCCTGGGCTCGTGTGAGTGAGTGAGCTCTGTGTGCTCCTGTGGCACTGAGGCCAGAGCAGGTGACAGATAGCAGTGTCACCTCCGGCAACGGCCACGTGATTTATATCCTCTTAGCAAAAGCAGGGAAAGCAACTGTAGTTGTCAAAAGTTGGTGGATCTGTTGAAAAAGATGTGTACTGGAGTCAGTCAGACACAAATTAACAGAAAAGGAATCAGTAAGAATCAGACCATAAAAGACTGATCGTTCTTTATAGTGAAGGCAGGAAAAAGAATGAGGGGAATGTGGGGGGCATTTTGTAGTTTGACTAATGTTCTTGAGGATGGTAGGCAATCAGCCCAGATCAGAAATTTACCTCTAATTCTGTTTGCCTGAGGTGCAGGGACAGGTAGGAACGGGAGAATGTAGCTTAGGAATGACAATGAGAAGTTAAAAAAGAGTGAATACAAAGAACAAGAGAAATACCCCCAGCATTGGAGAAAACATCCCAGCAGGCAGAGAAAGCTGCAGGAGTACATTACAGACAGAAAAGGGTGAGGAACTGGTTAACACTGCCAACAAACAAACCAACAAGAAGAGTTACTCATATTGTGGTGCAGTGGTGGGAGCCATGACAAAGAGGAGGTCAGGGCAAGGCAAGGAGGGTGTGCTGCACAGGAGCACTGGGATTATATTTAGAGAGGTGGTGCTCCAAAAGGCAGATATCTGATTAGGTGCCAGAATGGTTCTCACCTGTCTACTGTGTCTACATCAGGTTCCTATGACCGATTGTCCAAGTCACCTAGGCTACTTGACTCAGTTTTTAAAATCTTCTTTAACTTCTGAACCTTCTTGATTGTGCATTCCTGCTTAGAAGAAAACAGGAGTTCCCCTGTCCAAAGCAGGCTGTGGTGCTATGGGTACTGCTAAGGAGGGGCAGAGAAACAGAGCTTTAAACTCCTTTGGCTCCATGGGAGCCTGGCACAACCATAGGAGCTGAACCGTTGCACGTCCCAGCACCCTTGCAAGGCCAATTTCTGGCACCACGTGCAGTGCTGGGAACCTCCGGTACCAGGCAGCCTCCCTCCAGGAGCCAGCACAGCTCCGCGGTCCCGCGCCCTCCTGGGTTCATTGCAGGTGTAGGTGCTCCTCAGCTCTGCTCCCCACATAGCGAACGCCTCCCATCCTTCTTCCCTCCTTGCTTCCATCCTTCCTAGAGTTACTGGCTGCTGATCATTTTTGTTTTTTTTATTGGGTACTGTGCCCCAGCACAATCAGGACATCGAGTTTTGCTTTCATCATTCCTGCCAAGATTCCTAACCCAAGAAAAGGCCAAGCTGGCCATGTGAACTGCCATCCACGACAGAGCAGCTCTTACATAAGGACACCCATGGCCAAACCTAATCCAGAAGGGGGGGGTGAGGGGTGGAGGGGTAATAGGAGAATAAAATATTAGCATGGTGTGTAATGCTTCTAGGAACCCTACCTCTAGCTGGCAATAGAATTGCATCACCTTCTGCCATGGGGTATTATTTTGCCACCAGAAATGCTCTGCATTAAATACGTGGCTTTCCTGGGAGCCTTCTGCGCTGACGCTATCCATGGAAATAGGCCTTGATGTAAAGCAATTGCTTATCCGCTGCTGGGACTATCGGGTGGCAGGGAGCAGCTGAACATGCCTTTCTCACCATTCACCTCATGCTTGTACATTATTCAAAGGGGGAAAAAATAGCTTCATCCTCACAGAGGCTGAAATCACTGCTTTCTTTGCTCTCCCAAGGAAAGGGAGTGCTAAAGACTAGAAAGAAATCCCGCAAGGCACCACATTGGTTGCATTGCCTAGCGGGGCCTGACACAAGGCACCCAGCTGAGTCCGTGCCCCCAGTACAGGGCAGAGCAGGAAGCCAGCACCCTGCCTGAAGGATGCAGCCTGGGTATGAAAGTTACCTCTAAAGAACCAAGAAAAAGAGCAGGGAGTGGCTTACCAACTGCCTTGCAATATTAGCTGGTCTGGGGAAAAGATGCCTTGCACGTGGAGTAGAGAACGAGAAGTGAGAATCTGGGTGGTTTATCTGAATCAGCCTGATAACTTTCCTAAGCTTCCCAATCTGTCCCTCAGTTAAGTCAGATGTTTGAAACCTGCTTTATTTCTAGGCTCAGAGAAGTCCATTAGCCACTCATACTGTGCACTGAGATACGCCTATGACAAAAGCTATTGAGTACTTTTTATCTAATATTATTGGGTAATCATAATCAAAAGCAATAATATTTGACTCCACAACTGTGAAGTCAAATAACATCTTACCTTGCCTTTGTGTTTGGGTTTGAAATACGACGTGTAGCAGAAACCAGGAAAGCTATCCACAGTTAAGGTCACTTCAGGCCTATCACCCAAGTACTACATGACATTCTCCAGTGCTTTATCCCACCTGGAAAGGTCTCGACTTCCTACAAGGACCCGTTGGAATTAACTGACTGACCAGCTCCCCCCTGCCCTTGCGGGTACCCCTCTAGAAAGGCATCAGCTCTACCAGGGCTCACTGCACAGTTGTGTGGCTGCAGCTCCTAGAAGTGACTCCTGCACGCCCGGCCCTTTCTCTCATCTGTTGCTTGGGACACCTTGGGTGATCTAGACCCCGGTGCCAAAGCTGCAACAGGAGGCCCCTGTCTGCCCAGGACTGACTCGACTCTTGCTTCTTCCCAAGCTGAGGAGCTAACCCACTTGCCATTTGCAGGCGTGAGGCTTTGGAAAGGAGCTCAAGCACGGGAAGAGGACGTGGGGCAGTGGCAGGGTGCAGAGGACTTACTGGCCTGCTTGGCTTTCTCCGCATACGTGGTGGTCAGGTCTTCATCAACTGGGTGCTCCACGGGCCCCACCATGGGGATGAGGTGGCGCTCCGCTCGGATGGCCTTGGTGGCGTGGGGCAGGAGCATCGCCTCCGGGGAAGGCTCCCGGCCCTCGGCTGAGGGCGGCCGCAGCGCTCCATCGCTCTCCGAGAACGGCGTGTCCGTGCGGCTGCCAGGTGGGCAGGCGATCTCCCTCTTGGCCACCCCGCCGGAGCTGGCCACCTCGGCTCCCCCCTGCGTGGCGGCCTCCGGCGTGCTCTCGTAGCCGCTCTGCTCGGACAGGGACACCTCGTCCTGGGGCACGTCCGCCTTGCTGTTGGTGCTGCCGGGCGGGGAGCGTGGGCTCTTCTTGCGGGCCCGGCGGTGCTTCTCCTGGGCCACATTGTCGGCGTCGCTGTCAGTCTCGCCGTAGTAGGCCTCGCTGTCGGGCGGGGAGGTGAGGCTGTCCAGGTGCCGCGGTGCCCTCCGGGGCTGCGGGGGCTGCGTGGTGGCCGGGGCTCCTGCCGGCCCGGAGCTCAGCAGCTGTGCCGGGGGGCTGAGCGGGGATGGCGGGGAGAGCACTCGCTGCCCTGGGGAAGGGGAGCGCTGCAGCCGTGGGCCCGTCTGGTCCCCACCAACTATCCTGCAGGAGAATGAAAAGCAGTGAGTGAGGTGTGGGGAGCTGGAAGAAAACCCTGCCGTGAGAAGAGGGAGGGCTAAGGGCTGAGCTGGTGTTTCAGGTGTCTTCCACATGGTACAGATCGATACCTACAGGGCAGGCACATGTCTGACATCAGCTACTTGCTCTCATCCTGATTTTCTGCTTCATGACCTCTTTGAAAACCAGGTGTTAAACACTTGGAAATCAGAACGTCCTGAAAGCATAAAAATCTACCCAGCTTGCTTAATCAGCTCCCAGGCATTTCTCCATGGGAGGTAGATTCCTGCCCAGCATGCAGTCCTCAGCACAGCTGGCCGTGCCCACTCAGCCTGCCGGGCAGGGCCGCGAGGTGGTGCCCTGGCCATGACGCAGCTCCCCAGCTGCTCCTGCAGCTGGAACTGCATCTTAGAGCTGTGCCAGCTCTGCACACCAGGGCATCCTCCAAAACACTCCAGCAGTTTAGTTATCTGAAGGAAGAAGGTGCTGTTTGCTTGCCCAGCCTTCTAGATGGGAGCAAATAGCAAATACTTCTATGAAAAGGAGCCAAGCACTCTGTGGAGGCAGGACCATGCTGGTAGAAAGGTCAGATGTGTGGCCAGCTCGCTGCGGGGCTGCTTCACAAGCTAACTGCCAGTGTCTGGTTTTGACGACTGCGTTGCAGACATGCCAGCCCAGTCCGTGCTGGCATTTGCCTTTGGCTTAGACATAGCAAGCTCCATGCTGTGAGTCAGCTGGGAGGACGGCTGGGGTAGGAGCAGGACAGACTGGGGCAGTCAGTCCAGCTGCTGACTGCCAGAGGGAGAACTGGCTCTGCTGGTGGGAAACCAGTCAGCTCTGTCCTCCCTCTCCTCAGGAGCAAGCCCAGAGTTCAAAGGCAGTTTAATTCTGGACCCCAGAGATGGGGCGGGGAAAATCTTCCTGCCCTTGCCAGAGTCACCAGGGCTTGTTGGGTTTATAAGGGAGCCTCGCGTATTTGCCTTTTGAGCACGCATACAGGGAAGCCAGGAAGAGTATTGCCTCTGTAAAGCTGTGGAGTTCCGGACTTGAATCCCAGTTCTTTTTTATCTAGCCTCTGAACTGTGAAAAATTTATATGTGTATCAAGTATAAGCCTTGTTGGAAGCGAAGGGTGGGACAATTTCTCTGTTTATTTTTTTAAATAATATTTGTATTATGAACTCTTACTGGGGAGCAAACACAAACCTCCCTAAGCAAAACGAAGAAGTCCTTCCTCTTCTTTAAACACTTGATCAAATAGCTGAAAATCATTGCTGCTTCTAAGCCAGTTTCTGTGGTTCTGCACTGTCCGTTCAGGTCACCATCTTTCTGTTTCTCTCTTCACACACATCCCACACCAACAGCCCTGCATACTGCAGCCACCTCTCCTCTCTGAAAATAACTAATTGGTGTTTTCCTTGGGAATGTAGATGTAGAGTGAGAATAGCGCTGTGATGAGGAAGCACTATTTGATGATTCTCCAGTACCCCAGAAGGAAGCCAACTTCATTGACTAGCTACGTTATCCCCAAGCCATCTGGTGTTGGCTCCCCGAGGGCTGATCCATGCACCCCACGAGAAGCCTTCCTTTGTCACTTTGCTAATTCAAAGAGTGCTGATTTTGGCCCAGAGGAATTTGCCGGGGCACCTGTGGCTGCAGATGGGCTCCAGTGGGGTGAGATAAAGCCTCGGCAAGGAGCCAGGCGCTATTCTGGCCACCTTGCTCAGGGCTCACTTGTCCCACTTAATCACAGCAGCACAGGCAGAGCGCATCAGAAGGCACCGTCACCTTCCCAGAAGCCAAGGGAAGGAGCCTACATGTTCTTGTTTTCCTTTGTCTTTGTGTTTCTGCCTGTGTTTCCTTTGTCTTTGTCTTGGCTCAGTTATCCAATGCATCATCAAATCCATTTCTACAGAATGAACTGTGTCTCTGTTAATTCCTGAGCTGAATTGCCCTATGGCAACTGTTTGGTTGTAGCCTAAATTGCTCATTCTTAGCAGCACAGTCCTCACACTGCATTTCCCTCCAGCCTAAGGGGCTGGGACATGGAAATCCGGGATGAGTTCAACCCCACTGCCAGGCACTCAGGAGAGCAGCACAGAGAACTTTTGGTTGGCCACATGTTAGCCATGGGGAACTCCCAGGATGGCTCACAGGATGGAGAAACCAAAGGCTCCCTGCCTGCCTCCTTCCTGCCTGCTGTGCTGGGTGAAGCTGCTGTGCTGCCTGCACCGTCTCAGCATGGCGCTGGGGAAGCAGTTACCTTTTCACCCGGATGTTGAGCGTGCCGTTGGAGGAGTCGATGATCTGCATGGCAGTAGCATGGGAGAGGCCGGCACACGACTTGCCATTGATAGATACTAGCACATCATTTTCCCACAGGCCTCCACGGCATGCTTTGCTTCTCTTTCGGATCTGGAAAAACAGAACAGAGAGGATGGGGATGATAGTAAGAACAGCAGCTTTTCAGTGCAGGTGCTTGTCTCCTGCTGACCCTTTTGTCGCTCTATCCCTGAAAGAATAAAATAAGGCCTAAGACTACTGTGCTGCCACTGTGATGGACCAGGCCCTGTGCCTTTCAGTATCTGCACTTGTGGTAATTCCTTATTCCAGACTTTTCCTGTATGTGGCTGCGTGTCAGCACTTCCAGCTGTACCCCCTCCTGTGAATCTGTGGTGTGATCCCTGACACACAAACAGCCCCTGTAGATGCCGTCCTCGGGGAAGCTGACATCAGGAAGAGTAGGGGGCTCTCTGGCACTTCCTGCTGTCAGGTATTCCTGCTCAAACGGCTTTGGCCAATATATTTCTGGACATCTGCATCACGCCGTTGGTGTCCTGTTACACAAGAGTAAATGTGGAGTAAATCTTTAGCCTTAACAGGAGCTGTGTGAGATATGCGTTGCTTTGTCTGAGAAGGGAGTCTGGGGCTCTAGTTCCAGACTAGTCCCTAACCTGGCCTCTTGTGGCCATCTTACACCAAGTGTTTCCTCTTCCTTCTGTTCTCAGTTATCCGAGTTATCTCCTGTATCTCAGTTAAACTACTCACTGAAACCCACAACACAGTCTAGTGTTTCTGTTAGGGCAAGCAAGCAAACCAAGTGCCCACTCAGCCCAAAAACACAGAGCTCACCCATGTAGGTAGCAATAGGACAGTTTTCTTGTAGCACCCGTAATGCACTCATTTTGCATATTGGAATTTCCAGAGAAAAACACTGCACGATGGCAAATCAGGCCTAAATGCACTAACTTTGTAAATACTTCTAGAAATTTTATTCAGATCTTGCAGTTAAGTGAGAGACTTAAACAGTGCAGAGCTGTTTAATGGGGTGCAGTGAACAAACTGTCGCAGATCCCTGAAGAGAGGTAATGCACAGCAGGGCACCTTCTCCCATATCTTAGAGTTTGCTGCTTGAGCAACCAGACTCAGCCCTAATCCTCCGAGGGGCACGAGCAGCACTTCTTGCAGGTCAGCCTGTCAGCGGAACTGGGAGGTACTGGGGTAGAAGATGGAAAGAGGGGGGATATGCTCTGAGTTGCCTGTGCGTTCACTGGCACTTTATCACCCTGTAGCCTCTCCAGCTTGACCCCGAATTTTGCCTCTGTGCTTAAAATAGGGACTCTCTCATCCCAGCTGCCATATCCATCAGCCGCTGTCATTTTAGGCCTTTATCTCCCTCCTTGTTAATAAAAGCCAGGAATGAGAACATGTGGGTCTGTAATGAACCACTGCTGAAGAGCCACTTTTCTGCTGTTACAGTACAAATGCTGCTTCCTGACACTCCCTCAAGGTGCAGCTGCTAACTGATAGGGGACAGCAGGCTCATTTTCCAGTGCTGCCTACTGAGACCGCAGCTAATGCAGAGGGTTAGGGGGCTGCAGGGAGGGCAGAAGGAAGACATCCCCCTGGTATTCCTCAGAAGGCCAACTGCTGCTCCACACCAAGTGCTTCGCGCTCAGCCCTGGATAGGAACACACTTGCTGAGCACCTCTCCCAGTTTTGGAGCGAGGGAAGCGGGGGTTAAAGACTGTCAGCAGGTGCTGAGAGCATTCTTCACATCCCATCATACTCCTCCATGCTCACTGAAACCAGCTGGCCGTGGGCTGTGACCACCCAGCCCAGAGCTGCTCGGCCTCACCAGCATCCCACCAGCCCCTGGTCCCTCGGCACTGCAGGAACCTGCCAGGAGCACTCAGCACTGCCAGGCCAGTGCCTGCTGTGCCTCAGCACCCCTAGATCAGAGCAGGCTGCTGGGACATTAGCTGCCCCATGTGGGCAGAGCAAGGTGGGCAGGCAGTGCATGTATTTTATGGTTAGCACACGTGCCGGCCCAGCAGCTCTGGCTTGGTCTGTGCTCAGCCTTTCCCAGGGTGGCAGGAGGTCTGCAGGTAAAAGCAGCTCTAGTTACTGCAGTGCTACTGCAGGAGCTGCAAGCTAGCTCTGTAATCCAGGAGGAGAGGTCTCCCTGTCCCCATTCCTCCTTGGGAAAACAAGCCCAGTGTCCAGCCCAGGAAGAGACCTTCAGAGTCTGAAAATAGCACAACAGTGATCCTGGTTGTCAGTCCCCACAGGTTTATAAATCCTTCCCCGGAACTTTGTGAATCTGCTTCCCTGGGGCAGAGGGAAACCTGCTCACATTTTAATGACAACTCCCACCCCACTGCGTTTGCCAGAGAGGAGATCAAAGGGGTTAAAGGCAGAAGGGGAATGAATCTGCAGGGAGACAGCACACCCCACAGAAAGGACAGGACCTAATGCACAACCACGTCAGCAGACTGCAGGCCTGCTTCATTACTTCACAGGAGTGCCAGCACAGTGCTGCAGAGCCCTTCAATGACAGCCCGGAGCCTGCACAGCTCACAGCTCACTCACAGGGAGGGCAGCAGTGAGCCCTCGGGGCACCAGGCCAGGCCAGCTGCCCACCCTGAAGGTCAGGCTGCCCTCCCGGCCACTTGCTGCCCATGTCGGAAAGATGCCCTCTCCTGGGCGCCCAGCAGCCTCAGAGCCCTGCACAGGCTGCAGACAGGGAGGACGGTGCCACCCAGCAGCTCTGTGGAAGCGGATGGGGAAAGGATGGGAAAGAAATCCTTCTGTAGGGATGGGACAAGTGGGATTTCAAAGAGAAATCCTCTCTGCTTTCTGAAGCAGATCCCTTGAGCGCTTTCTTGTGCAAGTGAGAGGCAGCAGTGAGGGACTGTCAGAAAGCAAGGGGTAGCTCCAGGGGATTACACTACCCGATCTGCAAGGATTGGCCTCTCCCTTTGGAGGTGAAAACTGCACAAATTCTCTTCTACCTACCTATCTGGTACACCTTCCACTCCATGCCTCAGTAGACACCACCCCCTCCCCATTGCACACTTTGGCTCACTTGGGAGACACGTCCTGCTTATGTTTCAGCTGGGTTTCGGGAATCCCAGTGTCCGGGCCTTACTGATCCATGCTCCTCAAAATACAAAACAGTACAGAATACCTGAACGACAAAGTAATGAAATACACTGACACAGGATATTGTCCCACTTCCTGCACTCACACCAAGACTTCTGTTGTGACAGAAGAGCTCTTGTCAGAGAGGTTTGGTTGTCCACAGTGGCTACGTATGTGCACATATATATGCCTGTTTTCCTTTATGATATTGCCCTGTTCCTCTAATTGATCACATTGAATGAGACAGGGAAGGGACAGAAGCAGCTGCAGTCAAAAAAGGAAGAGCAAAAGCAACAAATGACAAAGCAAGTAAGAAGAAATGGTGTTGAAGGGAAGGCCAGTGCTAGGAGAGGCTGAGAAGGCTAGGACTGGGCTGAGGCTCTAGCAGAGCTTTCTCAGCACAGCCCTGAGGAGACAAAAGGACATGCTGCTCACTGGACGTGTTTTGGGCGAATTCAGCCTAGCTTTCGGGAATGCAAGGGAGGAGGGGGTCAGATGCAACTCGGCAGCATCTGTCCTTCAGTATGGACTATATTTAGGTAGTGGTATGTGGGGGGTGAACACACGCTGGGATGCTAATAATAGAGAAGTCCTGATAGTAACTCAGTGGCTTCCCATCTTGCCTGAGTACAGCCCAGGGAACCTGTCCTGAAACTCTGCAACCACCGTCCCTACTGGCCACAACCCCTTCCTCATAAAAAAAAAAAAAAGGAAAGATGCTGTGGGTAATCAGAAGTGGTTCACAGTGCCTTTCAGGAATCTAAGAGGTACGTGCCATCTTTGCCCTTGCCTCCCCAAGGCACTCAACACCTCCCTCATCAGCAGAGCTCAATCCATACAGCAGGAAGACAAATTACATTATACTAAAATCCACCCAGCAGCAGCTGAGCAAGCTCAGGCCAAGTAAGAGTTGGATGTTGACTACAAGTGGTCTTTCTCCTTCCCCTCTCTGATTGCATCTCAAGTTGTATAGCTGCCCCCTTTCCCTCAGCAGCTACAGCGGAGTAGTTGCACCCTATGGCAATTCAGCAGTATTCACATTTTATTTCCAGTCTGAAGTGAAATGTAGTCATGTCACGGGGTCCCCAAGGAGGGGTAAGAGCTGCCTTGTTGTAGTATGAAGCAATACAAAGCATTACCAAGGGGGAATGAACTCAGGCAAGATCTGAAGAGCCAAGCAACATCAAGGTCTGCTCCTCCCAGCACTTCCTGCTCAGCTGAACCACAACCACAGCAGCTGATAGCTGCAAGAGAAGAAGCAAACCCTCCATCTCTTCTTTCAGCACATCTGTGTTAACATCATTTTGGTTACTGGAACAGTTTGGTTTTCCTACAGGGCCAGGGCCAAATCTTTATTTGTGCAAGGAAAAAAACAACCCTGTGGTTAAAGCACTAGACTGGCATCCAGGAGGCCTGGAGGAGTTTTTGTGTGACCTCGGAGAAAACACTCACACTGAACTGTAAATGACAGGAGCCTGGATATCAAAAGGTTTTTCTAATCATTTGCTCTGACTCTTAAATTTCTTTCTCTCAGCTGCCCATCTGAACATAATGATCCAGTAAGATACTATTTCTATGCTTTGCCTGTTAGGGATGCAAGTAGCATCACATCTTTGTGTTACTGCTGTATTTTTATTAGAGGAGAATATTTACTCTAACCTATTATAATTACACCAACCATTACAATTACACGTCTTTATTTCGTTCCAATAACTTCTGCCCTAACACCTTGTTCCAGTTTAAGAGGTGCCACTGCATTGCATCTTGGTAAAGCAGGTCCATTGTCCCTGCAGACCTATTTCAAAGGTCATCCACAGTGAAGCTTAAGCAGAAGGTGTTTAACTAGAGAAAGAAGGGAGAAAACAGACATTTTCTGGAATGATAAACAAATACAGCAAGACAGGGTGGTAAAAGAAGGTATCTTGAGCACAAGGACAGATTGGGTGGTTTCTGGGCAAGGGGTCTGGAGATGAAACCTGGTGGTGGCAAAG